TCATCATCAACCGGTGACATTTAACAATAATTTTGTGAGAAACTGTATGATCTAATTCAAGGAGGTTTCTATGTGACTGCCAAAAGCCGACGTCTTTTCCTTTGCTGTCGGTTGATGATGGCCGCAAAGTGCTGATGGTCTTGTAGGCAGCCACCACAAAGTGCAGGCCACGCGCTCACATGTTTCCTTTCGTAAATGACGAGAGTGTACATACGTGTGTCATTTCAATGATGGCTGTTAAAAATAAAGAAGTGGAGCAGGGGTTTGGGGGGAGGTGCGAGAGATTGAGAGAAGGAGAGGGACGAAGTAAGCAGTCGGAGCTAGCCCTGACAAAGTAAACATCGTGGTTTAGAATCGCGACCACGGGTCCTTTTTCTTAACAATGGCAACACAATGTATGTAACAATGTATGGTATACCCCATACACCAGGGCCTCTCCTGTTGGCAGTGTAGTGCTGCGGAATCGTTATCATAAAAAAAGAGAGAGAGAAAAAAAATTCGGCAGATCCTACGTACCTGGGAATCAACTTTATGCAAAACATGCAGAGGGAAAGTGACCGTGTTGCAACTTTTTTATTCAGCGACACTTTATGAAATGGCGCTAGAATACGTACGAATGTTACACGCACAGACATACATTAAAGAGTTGCAGATGTTTATATAAACAGTTGTTCGCACTTGTGCAACGATGCCAACAGGAACATACGTATTAGCAACACACGCTTCAAACATTCTTCAAATTGCTGATGCTCGCAAGGATGCTGGCCCTAGACAGTGCTACATAAATCAACTTCAGTGCAAGGTAACTAACCACAATCGACGTTAACTCGACGTGACTGCTCTATCAAAGGAGTACATATGTGATGTTTATAAAACTGGGTAGGCAGCACTGTAACCACATTTGGCGTTTCACGAAGATTAGTGTTCATATTGTGATGGGGCGAGATCTAGGCTTATAGTATAACGTCCATAGAAAATCGGCAGCCAAACAAGATGGCAGAGTTGCCTTTCGCGCAAGCGTCTAACGCACAGGCGCCTTCGTCATCTTCACAAAGTGCCACACTTGCTCCTGTCAATGATGCACCGTAACATCACTCTCCCGTAGCGGAAGCGCCGTCACGGCGCTTGGTACGGCGGCGACGAACTAGCAGGGTGATACGGTTTGAGTCTGGAAATGTGGACAACGTCCATCTGGAGTGAGGGGGTCAAAAAGGCATTGTTTAGGGGTGTGATCTTGTAGCTCACGTCACTGAGTTGTCGTAACACTTTGTAGGGGCCATGGCAATGTGGTAGTAGCTTCTCTGATAAGTCGACTTGGCGGTTTGGTGTCCAGAGAAGTACCAGAGACCCCGGCGAGAAGTGCACGCTTTGGTGGCAACTGTCATAATGGTGTTTTTGGTGCTCTTGTGATTAGTGCAGCTGATCATGTGTAAGCTGGCGGGCTGCATGGGCTCAAGAAACGACATCGCTGGCGTACTCAGTAGACAAGGGGGCAGCCGTCAAATGGTAATGCTGGATGTCGGCCAAATAGCAAATAAAATAGTGAATAACTAGCTCTGCAGTGCTGTAAATACTTGTGCGCAAAGGTGACAAACAGGAGTGCTTTGTCCGAGTCACGGTGATCTGGTGAAACGTACATTAACAGCATCTGCATCAGCATTCGGTTCAGACGCTTGGTCAATCAATTTGTCTGTGAATGATAAGCGTTGGTAAGCTTATTGTGCTCAGTGGAGCAGGCGCAGAGAATGTCATCAACAACACGTGAAAGGAAGTACCTTCTTCGATCAGTAAGCTGCTGCCACGGAGCATCGTGATGAAGAATGACTTCATACAAAAGAAAGTTAGCGACGTCGGTGGAAAAGCTTGTCGGGACTGCTTTAGTGATGGCAAAGCAGTGTGGCGTAATTTGTGGCAACTGCAACCCATTTACTTCCGGAGGTGGACGTAGGAAACGTGCCCAACAGTTCAAGGTCAACACGGAAGAATGGTTCCATCGTTATGTCAATGGGCTGTAGGTGACCAGACGGTAGCACAGAGGGGCGCTTGCGGCGGTCGCAAGCAGTGACGTAGCGAACCACAGAACGATACAGTACAGCCCAGAAAAAGCGACGTCGCACACGATCCTAGGTATGAGAGACGCCTAGGTGACCGGCTGTAGGTACGTCGTGTAGTTGTTAGAGAACGCTGGTACTCAGATCGATGCACGAGTAGTAATTCCGGGCCATCGGGGTTGAAGCTGCAACGGTACAGAATGTTGTGCAGTTCGAACAGGTGAACAGAAGGGTCTGTTGGAGCAGAGGTCAGACGCTCGATGATGGAGAGTAACGATGGGTCACGTCGTTGTTTGGTGGAGATATCGACTAAAGCGTGGATAGAGAGCACGCAGGGGTCCGATTCAAGATCTGTCAAGTCGGGCGTTTCAAACGGATGACGTGACAAACAGTCTGCGTCTGTGTTCAGGCGTCCCGACTTGTAGTGGACCACGAACGAGTATTCTTGCAGGCGCAGCACCCAGCGGCCGTGACGTCCAGACGGGTCCTTTAGCGATAGGAGCCAGCATGATGGTCAGAGCCGGCGCGATAATCAGTAACAACGGAAAAAGTTCGGCCATACAGGTAAGGCCTGAATTTTTTCACTGCCCACACTAAAGCTACAGGTCTTCACCTGTAGCTTCACGACTGGCGTAAGCAATTATGCGGTCCTTCCCGTGCTGTCGTTAGCTGAGGACCGCCCCAATTCCATGGCCACTGTTATCGATCCGAAGCTCTGTAGGTGATGCAGGGTCGTAATCGGCGAGTATTGGTGGCTTAGTCAGCAGATGGGTAAGAGCCGAAAAGACGTCCGCTTGCTGTATGCCCCATGCGAAGGGAACGTCCTTCTTTAAGAGATCAGTAAGCGGTCGAGCGATGTCGGCGAAGTTGCGGACAAATCGAGGAAATAGGAACATAGCCCTAAAAAAACTTCGGATTTCCTTAGTTGAACATGGTTCAGAAAATTCTTGTACTGCTCCCACCTAGTCGGGATCTTGTTGAACACCAGCGGTACTGACAAGGTGGCAGAGTATGGTGATTTGGCGATGCTCGAAAGGGCATTTTGCAGAATTGAGCTCGAGAGCGGCTCTTCGAAAAACATCCAAAATGAATGGTAGACGTGTGATTTGGCTGTCAAATTTGATTGAAAAGACGATGACATCGACAAAGTAACATAGGCAGATGGAGCACTTATATCCTCGGCGAAAAGAATCCATCATGCTCTCGACAGTTGCCGGCGCATTACATAGTCCGAACAGCATCACTTTGAACTGGTAGAGGTCGTCGGGCATGACAAAAGCGGTTTTTTCACGATCCATGGGGTCGACGAAAATTTGCCAATAGCCAGACCGAAGGGCGATAGACGAAAAGTATTGAGCACCATGGAGGCAATCGAGGGCGTCATCAATCCGAGGCAAAGGGTAGACATCTTCATGAGTGACATTGTTTAAATGGTGATAGTCCACGCAAAAGCGCCAGCTGCCATCCTTCTTTACAACGTGCACGACGAGGAGGCCCAGGGGCTAGATGATGGTTCTATAACGTCTTCAGTAATAATTTTGTCGACTTAATTCTTATAAAATACTTAAAATACCTAATTTACTTAAAGTAATTTGTAAATTCTTAAAATACTTTAACGAATAAATACTTATTCTTAATAATGAGTTATGCACAAGCTAATCCAGACTTTCTAATTTTATTTCTTGGATTGAAGTAGCAATCAAAAGTTTACAGAAAAAAACTCTGCAAGAGAAGGTGATCTAATCAAATGTAGAATTGCCTTTTTGATTAAACTCTATACTTCTGATTACTGAAGAAAACTCGACCCGCCATGATGTCCCAGCAGTTATGGCGCTCGACCAAAGGTTGCGGAATCAAATCTGGGCAGTGACAGCCGCATTTTTAATGGAGGCACGAATGTCATCTGAAGGCACTTGATAAATTCCTAGGGATAATCACTTTTCTCTAAACTCAACAGCCAAGGAATGTAAAAACTTTTTGAGGCACCTTAGCCTTTTAATTCCTGAACTATGACACTGCCAAAGAAAAATTTGTTTGCTTATTTTCAGCTCTGCATAGCAACCTTGCATTCATTCTGCAGCTAAATCATCTAAAACTCAACTTTAATGCATACTTTTAGGCATGTCGCAAATTGATGACATGTATTCGCGACATGCTTGCATGCATACACACACAAAATACACACACCGCTTGCATGGCGAGAAAAAATGAAGTGAGAGACATTGCGCATGCACCATGCTTTCCACTATCAGCTACATAACACCTGGTTTAGGCATTAAATTCTTTACACAAGGCTGTGCTAGATTTTTCCTGCTGAAAGCTACCTTCCTGGTGAGTACTTCACAAACGACGTTAAAGGCAGCACACTTTTTTGACTTGCTTGGTCAGAGTTTTCCGGTATATCCCAAATTCGTGACACACTTCATTAAAGGGTTTCATAAAAGATCACCTTTTAGCAGAATTGATCAGTTGTGTAACCTCTACATTAGAAATACTGGCACCCCTGCCCTTCTGGGCTTCATTGGGATGAAGTCTGGAGATGTGGCGACGGAGAACACTTCTCTGTGAAAAAGTTGCATTGCAATGGCTACAGGAATACGGACGCTCTCCTGTGTGGGAATGTATGTGGTCTTTGAGGCTGGTTTTCCGTTTAAAAGATGCATCACAATAAACACATGAGTAAGGCCGCTCTCCTGTGTGGGTTCGCATATGTTGCTTGAGGTTGCATCTATGGGAAAAAGAGGCATCACAGTGGCCACAGTTAAAAGGACGTTCGCCGGTGTGGGTGCGCATGTGCTGCTTGAGGGTGTGGCTCAGCCCAAAGGCTGCGTCACATTGGTCACAGGAAAACGCTCTCCAGTGTGGGTGCGTACTACGTGTCCCTTGAGGTCAGGCTTTCAAAAAAATGATGCATTGCAGAAGAGACAGGAGAAAGGACGCTCTCCTGCGTGGGTGCACATGTGCTGCTTCAGGTTACATTTCTTTGAAAAGGATTTAACACAGCAAAAGGGACGCTCTCCTGTGTGGGTGGGCAAGTGTTTCGTCACGCTCCATTTCACTGAAAAGGACGCATTGCACTGGGTGCAGGAGAAAGGACGCTCCCTGGTATGGGTGCCAATGTGCTCTGTGAGGCGGACTTTCACAACAAAAGTAGCCGGGCAAAGGTGACACTGGAAGGGACGCTCCCCTGTGTGTTGGCGAAGGTGCACATTCATGTGTCCTTTATCCGTGGTCGTATAGGCACACTGCCGGCAGGAATGCAGTCCATCTTCTACACACACAAGCAAATGGTACTGGTCACGGGATTTCACAGAAACGGAACCTGCATAGCCACAGGAAGCACAGCAAGGCAATGCAAATTATAGATCCCACAACATACATATAACTAGACTTGAGCAGCGAAATAACAAGAGTTGCTGCACTTATAAATAAGTGTGTCTGATGACCTTCACCATTGCGAATGTGTTACTTTAACACACCAGTACATTGATTCAGAACATGCCTCATACAAGTTGCCGTCTGTCTATGCACAGATACTTAATCGATGCAAGTACCACCAAATTTGAATGTCAGTGCACCAAAATAGGAAAATGTGTCTCTGTAAAGAATATAATATTTAGTTTTACGCGGCTCACGAAATTCGGAATAGCTTAGGACATTCACACTAGCTACACCCCTACACCGAGGAACTATGTCTAAATAGATATTCGCTTTTAGTATTTCGCCTACACCAAAATGCGACCACTGCTGCCGATCTAGAACGCACGTTCGCACACTAACCCATCAAACTAATTATTAGTGTTTCAAGTACAAGTCTCTATATAACCGAGCAGATGAAAACAAAGAGGAACTCCTCGGTTTATTATATTCATGCCAAAGATAACCAAATAAGAGTGTACGTTACCTTCACAGAGAGTAACTGTATTCGCATCATGTCCATCATCAACACTCGGCCTTTTCGTCTACCTAATGCCATAACTTCATTCGCATTATGCCTGTGATCAACAATCGGCTTCAAGTCCACTGTCAACTTCATTGGCATAGTGTCCGTGATCAACACACGGATCCACGTCCTCCTGTAACTTCATTTCCATAGGAGCCCATGATCAACACTCGGCTTGTTGTCCACCAATGCGATAACTTCATTCGAATAATGTCCGTGATCAACTAACGGCTTCAAGTCCACCGTAACTTCCTTCGCATAATGTTCGTGATCAACACTCGGCTTCACGTCCGACGCATATTCATTCGCATAATGCCCATGGTCAATGTTCGGCTTCACGTCCGTCGTAACATCGTTCGCATAATGTCCGTGATCAACAGTAGGAATCACGTCTACCGCAACTTCATTCGCATAATGATTTTCGTCAACCAAGCCTTCAACACTCGGTTTCACATCATTCACTGCACTAGTCGCTGCCAGAATGCCGTCCATTGCACCATCGCCTTCTCTAGTTAGGAGGCTATGAACTATAGAGAAGGCCATTATTGCGCAAGTTTCACCTAGAGGACGTCGCCCGTCGCGGTTTCACTTTACGCAGCGGTCAGGAATGAAGTTACCACTCAAACCTTGAACAACTAATGCAAATAACACCAGGATAACACATTCAAAAGTCCCAGATCTGCGAGACGCATAGGTAGCATAGTTTTCTGGCTATTATTGGCTATATTTCTTTTTTCGCGGTTGTCAATGATGATGGATGTTGCCAAAAATACTCTCTACTGGGTTTTCACGTATCAAGCTAACTAAATGAAAGAAATTTTTTTTCAAAAAATGTCGTTTTTGGTGTTTGCCTTATGTTGAATTCTTGTCATTTTTGGTGAACAGAGATTCTGTGGATACACTTTTATGGCAAAGATGCACGCAAACAGACCACTGGTCAATTACGAAACCAAAACTGTAAGTGCTTTGTGTACGGATTAGTTTAATGAGTAGTATTTTGTTGGTTACTAAACAGCAATCATATCAAGTGCTCAAGATGTCATAATGATCTACTTGCATCGTCAACGCGTAACATGGTACAGGTGTTGTTCACGCTCAAGGACACGTTTGTGAGTCTGTGTGAACCATCAAACTTAATCAATTGCTTTGTTAAATGATGTACCCTGTCGTTCTCTCTTCAACGGCCCTCTACGGTATCTTGCAGTGCTTGTCTACGGCCCACGGCCACCTGGACCGGGCCAGAGAACACCTACCTGTTCACCAGGCGGCCGTGAGCGGCGCTTGAAAGATGAGAGGGTCGCGTAGTGTATGGATCCCCACCCCCACTCTCTCTCTCTTTTTTTTTGTAGTAGGTCGTCTCACACATCCTCCTCAATCGTTTTTTTTTTTTTCATTTGCCTTTAGCTAGGGATATTTGTACGCCTGTATTTTTATTAATGCTAAGCCACTGTACACGCGGCATAGAGTTTCATGCACGCGCACCACTTCATCATCACATAACATCATTTTGTGAAAAATTGTGATTTTACTCAAGCAGGTTTATATAAACATTAACATCCTTAATTTGAGTATGGCCCCAAGGGCCATTATATGACGCCAAACGCCTACGTCTTTTCTTTTGCGGTCTGTTGATTGTCGAAAAGTACTAGGTGTTGTCTTGTGGTCCTGTAGGCAGTCGCCAGAGAATGCAGGCCACGCGCTCACGTGTTCCCTTTCATAAAGGAAGACATTGTACATTTGTATGTCATTTCAATTATGGCTGTTAAAAATAAAGAAGTGGTACAGGGGCTTGTGAAGAGGCGCGAGAGACTCGGAGAATACGAACTAAGCAAGAAGGCGAAGCTAGCACTGACAGAGTAAACATCGCCGTTTAGAGTAGAGACAACGGGTCCTTGTTCTTAACAATAACAGAAGCACATTTGATATTTTTAGAGAAATGCAGATTGAGCCTGGCCCTGACATTGGAAAAGCATGCCGCACGAATTATTAGCACCGCAGCGCTGCTTTAAAGTGTCTAGTCCTGATACTGATGCTGTAAAACCACACACACACACGCACACACACATATATATTGTACCGAAGCATAGTGGCGCCAGCTCTGTGCCAGCGTGAAAGAAGACGTTGACGTCCATGTGTGGCTCGTGTTTGCCGGGTTCCTGCCTGTACCAGCATGTTGCGGCTAACGTTTCTCGAATAATAACCTGTGTTTTTACGCAACCTTGCTCGTTGCATTTGATGGAAACGTGCTGGGTAACGTCCTGGAGCTCGGCAGCCGTAAGCTACCATCTCAGTCCGCGATGACCGAGCGCGTCGATCCCCCACAAGGCTCTTCCACGCTGCCACCTGTCATGTGTTCTGGTGTACTTTGTCTGCGTGACCCACCAGTATACAACGGCGCTGAAGATCAAGATGTCGAGGACTGGCTAGCAGATTACGAGCATGCCAGCGCGATTAACAAGTGGGATGACCCAGCGAAGCTGACTCATGTCATCTTCTACTTGACGGATTTGGCCAACCTGTGGTTCACCAACCACCAAGCCGACATCCCCACCTGGTCGGTTTTCAAAGAGGCCGTCACCTCGTTTTTCGGTCGTCCAGCCATGCGTAAGCTTCGTGCTGAACTGGGCCTGCGGGGACGATTTCAGCGAATTGGTGAGAGCTTCACGAGCTACATTGAGGATGTGATCAGCCTCTGTAGGCGAGTTGATGCGAGGATGAAGGAGGCTGACAGAATAAAGAATATATGTAAAGGCATTGATGACGACGCTTTTCATATGCTTGTCGCCAAAGATCACAGACCGTCACTGCCGTGATTCAGCTATGTCAAAGTTTCGATGAGCTGCGCAAGCTACGAATTTCTACACGTCGCGCTAATACGGAAACAGCTTATATTTCGGCTTTGGAGTGCAAAAGCAGTGGCCCCGGCTACAGCGTGTTAATGCCTCAAATTCAACAGTACATCCGGAAGGAAGTTGCTCGACAGCTCTTTCTTGTCGCCACCATCAACGAGACCCCCACAACACTGGACCACTCACTTCGCTGTGCTATTCAGACGCAAGTTGCCGAGGCTCTCCCTTCGCCCGCGTCCCCAATATCAGTGGCTGCATCGCTGACTTATGCGGAAGCCGTCCGCCGACCTCCTGCCGAACCGCCGCTCCCTTCATACGGTCCAGCCACCAACTACTACAGGTCCCCAGTTTTGGTTTATCCAGTAAATCGGCCCTTTCTACCACCTCGAGCACCAGTAAACTCTTGGCGTACTCCGGATAACCGGCCCATCTGCTACAACATTGGTATTTCAGGACATGTCGCGCGTTACTGTCGTCGCCGTGGATTCTATTTTAATGATGTTCAGCATTCTGGCAACATACCTCGGCAATCAGAATCGCATGTGACACCCGATTCACATGACCTCCGCTCACGTCGACCAGACTTCAGCCGACGTCGATCTCCTTCACCCCGTCTTCAGTCTCTTTCCCCCATGCTTCGCCGTTCCAACCATGCCCAGGAGGAAAACTAGCTGTTGCAGTTCCTGAGGCAAGAGCTGCACCACCGATGAAATTTCCAAGGCCTCATCTTTTGCCCCCTAACGAGATTGCCGTTTTTGTGGACGGTTTCTCCACAACTGCTCTTGTCGACACAGGTGCCGCTATTTGTATAATCAGTGAAGTGTTATGCCGCAAACTGAACAAAGTGACGACTCCACTGGTTGAAATTTCTTTACGCACAGCGAGTTTGCAACAGGTCCAACCTTCTGCCACATGCACTGCTCGTGTTGTGATTAAAGGAGTGCTTTACATCGTTGAATTTGTCGTCCTTCTGCATGCGTCTGATGAAATCATCCTGGGATGGAACTTTCTTTCAGCTAATCATGCGGTTAATAATAATGAGATGTAACAGACAATAGTGCATATATATATATATATATATATATATATGTGTGTGAGTGTGTTGTCGCTTGAGAAAAGACACGCAGTATTAAGATACATGATGGAGCTGGCCGCAAATATTGAGAATTTTAGCCCTCCTGGTCATCTTAAGTTGTGCCCATTTCGAACCATTTTTGTTTTCTCGGAAATCATATTTTCAGGTATTTTTCGGTAAGCGAACAGTCGTACCTCTATTGCAAGTAGTCATATTTATTACAGCTTTGCACACTTTCTTATATAGGCGTGCAAGATCGTGTCCAAGATTGAATATGACATATGTGGTCTGTGATATGGCTGCGAAGGTGCCCCAGTGTATGGTATGTATGGTACACCCCATACACCAGGGCCTCACGAACTCATGAAGTCGTTAAGGCGTGGGTGGCCTCTCCTGTTGGCAGTGTAGTGCTGGGAAATCGTTATCAGAAAAAAAAAAGGAAAGAGAAAAGAAGGAAAGAAAAAAAAAAGCGCGGAATGTTAAATTCGGGGTCAGCGCACGGTGAATGTGTTGTGTATGGTATCGTCATCGGTCTCATGCTGTGATATACAGGTTTTGTGTACATACAACAAAAACATAGCATTGCCTCCTGATTCTAGTTCTTTAGTGTTGCTTCGTAACACGCTCGCTCACAAGAAACATCTCACAACTTACGTCACCACAACTTCATCTTCAATGCCTGTTGCACCATGCTCCATTTTGTTTCACAATCAGCATGAATGCTTTTCATAATTGTGGTGCAAATGAATGCCACTTTCGATGATCAGCATAAAAGCTTTCAGTATATTTATTTACATTACAGTGGTGTAGGCAGAAATTTTTTCAGGTGGGTTAAACCAAGCTTGATGTATGTGCGTGAATTTTTGTGAGCGTGTATACTGAGTCCACTATGAAAGTAATGCCCATGATTTTATTCTGACACAACTATTCATCCAAGTGGTCAAAATTTCCAGAGCCCTCCGCTACGGCGTCTCTCATAATCATATGGTGGTTTTGGGATCTTAAACCCCACATATCAATCTATCAATCAAACAACTGTCCATGGCAATGTGGAAAATAACAAAGAAAAAAGAGTGCCAAATTCTGA